TCACCCCATGATGTCATTGATCCCCTTCAAAAATGAAGAATGAACAACAACTTTATTGCAGGAGTATGAATTCTTACTTGGAGGAGAGGAGGTTGGAACATTATTATTCTGAAAAGCAAATCAGCCAACTGCAAACCCTAAATGCAGGTTTAAAACTGTGCACGTCTCATCCTTTCCAAAAGAAACAGGTAAATCACAAGCTGGGAACAGTTACAGAGATGCTGGGCCACATACTTGCTGTTGCAATCAATGGGAACTCCTTGTATAAATTTCAAGGGTGACAAGGATTAGCCTCTGATGGTAGGATCTAAAGTTGAATGTTGATTTCTAGAAATTAGAACCTTAATTACATATCAGCGGGGCACTAATGAAGTCACATGCTTATTATAAGCATTTTTCAATGGGGACTCTAAGAAACTGAGGCTCTCTTCTACTTAACCTCTCTCACACCTCTTTTGTCTTCACTACAGGCAAGGGCCTGATGGTGTATCAAAATCTCTAAACAAAGAGCCATGGGTTGGCAGGCATGAAACAAGATGTTTTTTTTTTTTCCAATCATTTTGCACAAGTCTTTTCTGCAGGTTTCTGCTCTTAAGTATCCATGGGGAGCTGCTTTGGAAGCATGAAAGGAGATAACATTAGGTCTCCTTGAGCAGACAAACTGTTCCTGGGACAAGTTAAGCTGAAGAATAATAGAATCTTAGAGTTGGAATAAAATAGACTTATCTAGAAGTTCATCTTCCTAATCTGGAACATTAGAAAGAACTAAGAAGGCAAAAGGACCAAAATAGAAGTCAAAAAGTCAATACCCTGAAACTTTAGGACTTTACTCACGGAAGGTTTCCCTTAGGCCTTCACACCAAGCCCATTTATTCTTACTTTCACATAATTACCATATTCTTAGTTATTCATTTTCTTAGTTCAAAGAAAACTAGAAACAGCAAACCAGAAAAGGGAGAGGGAAGCTCTACCACAGGAACATTTCTCACTTTTTAGTATGAGAGAAGACGGAAAAACTATAAAAAACAAAATCAGATATAAGAAAAAAAAGGCATTTCAGTCTGATATCACACATTGGAAGGGCAAATAGTTGTAATACCTCAAAGGACCATGGGGGTGTCAGTTTGTTCAAAATGATGGATGAGTCTTCAAAAAAAGGTGAAACTATATTTATATGCTCTGCTTAAGAAGGCAGGGGAAGTGTGTGATACATTGGGAGGCACCGTAAAGGGGGGAATCTTTAGACAAGGAATTAAGACTACCTGAGGGCTAGACCCAGATTTGTCACTAACTAGCTGGATGGCCTTGGACAACCATTTCCCTGGGCCTATGTTACCACATTCGTAAAGTTAGATTAGCTCTCAGGTCCTTTTCAGTGATATCACTCTTCTCTAATTGATTTCAGAAATATTTCCACCAAAATGTGATCAAGAGCACAAACTATTTGTAATACATGGTAGGATGATAACGTTTTGAAACTTAGAGGTAATTTTCCATTATATGGAAACTTCACTCATGTGGAAAACTACATTCCCAACCCCCACCCTTTCCAGATAAATGGAGTGATATTGCACTTGAAATTCTACTCTCTTTGAGAGAGCTCTTTTCACAGTTATACCCTTTGGAAGCTTCAAGCCTAGTGAGTACATTGTACTGTCAGGATACCTGGTGCTAGATATAGACACCTAAGGGAGTCTTAGTGAGTTATACTGGTGGGTATAGGTAGGAGTAAACTCATTTAATGGATTCCTTGGTTCCCAGAAGGCATATACCTCTCACTAGTCTGGACAGCTCTTCTCCTGAAGTTCATGACCACAAATCCTAAGAATCTCAGATCAAAATCCTACCATTTTGGGTTTATCTGGTCCAATTCCCTACCTTCAGGCAACTAACTATTTAAACAATTTGGGGGGAGATGGCTGACATTTGTTTTCCTAAAGTTCTTTTTTGGGGAGATAAATGTGGGAAGGGTAGAGTAGAAAGGTGGAGGAAGTGAGAAGACTCCACAACCTTCCTGGGTAGCTCATTCTAATGTTAATGGCAACAACACAAATTTGTGGCCTGAGTAACACTCATTTTAAAAGCAACATCTGTTCCTTGTACTTGGTTCCCTGGATGCTTTCAGATGGGAACATTTTGGAAAAAGAAACTAAACTCCTACACATTGTGTTGTGCTCAAAATTTCAAGAATATGTCCTATATTTATGCTAAATTTCAAAACGTGCCACATCTGTTTGGGCCTTTCCCAGCACACAAAACTAGAATGATGTAATAAACTCAGAATCACATACCAAACTTCTGGTGTTGAAGCAAATCAAACTGACTTAGACATTGTATTAGTCTGCCTTTTCTCATGCTTGAGGAATAAACACGGCTTGTAAAAACGCAGAAAATTTTAACACCTTCAGACTGCTCTCAAACATTTATGCCAAGGAAATAATACCTTAGGGATCTTGGTTGGCACTTATGGTATTTCCTTTTATCTATCTCTTTTTAAAAAAAAAATGACCCTAAAAGATTTTAGACCTAAGTGTTCCATCTGTGAAACTGAGAAGGTTGTCTGTCAAAGTCACCTGGCAGAAAGTAGGACTCAACTCTAGAGACAGGAGCAATACAATTAAGTTAGTGTAAGCAGGCTTTTCCCCATTGCTAACTGAGAGTAGACAGAGAAGTAGGAGGAGAGTAGACAGAGAAGGTTAACACACAACTCTCTCATTTTACCTTTTGAGCTTAAGTCTCCCACAAAAATAGCCTCCTCCTGCCCATGATCTCATTTCACAACCCAGCTGAGAATGGGAACAAGAAACATTTCCTTTCTTATCAGAGTCCCAGCTTAAAAAAAAAAAGCCTTAGTAACAGCGCAGATTTAGTGTCGGTGGATAAAGAAGTATAACTTCATGGAAACCTTATAAAATAACCCTTTGCAATCCAAATAGTTCCCCCCATCCCCACCTTGGTGCTCACTTGACAGAGAAGGGTGAGATGGCAGCCTTGCAAACAGAAAGGAAGTATTTTTCTTTAAAGCAAAGTTGTGTCCTGGACCTCTCCTGCCCCTCTCCAACTTTGGAAAATCTAATTAAGCTTGTGCAAACCCTTTCAGAGAAAATTTTTTTTTTAATAAAATAAAATATATAGGATTATACAGGAATCCAATTATATTGAAATAAAGATGCAATTTTCTCCCCAACCAAAGTCAAGGACTCCTTGAAATCTATTCATGGGCCCCAGGTTAAATATAAAGGCATCTTTTTGCTACATGTGTTCAAAATGATGAAGAGTCCTAGGTATTAAAAAACTGGGAAAATATGGGTTGTTAATGACAAAGACAGCTACTCTGGGTTAAATTAGCTTCCCTTCCATATCTTGATTTAACTCAGGCACTCCCCTGTTCATTACACTTTAATATTTCAGAGAGACATTAATATTAAGATAGAAGAGAATGTGTTCTTTTTCTATGCATTACTCTAAAAAGAAAAAAAATACAAACCATTAACATGAAATCCTCTTTAGTTCTAAACGCATTTGTACCATTTCAGCGAAAACATTTCCTAGTTCAAGGAATCTTACTGATCATTTTGGGAATATACTATACAGAGTATACGTATATACCAAGGAAGTGGCACAATGGATGGAGACAGGGCCTTGCAGTCGGGAAGATTCAACTTCCTGAGTTCAAATTTGGCCCCAGATACTTAGTAGTTCTATGACCCTGGGCAAATCACTTCACCCTGTTTGCCTCAGTTTCTTCATCTGTAAAAGGAGCTAGAGAAAGAAATGGCAAACCACTCTAGGATCTTTGCCAAGAAAACCCCAAATAGGGTCATAAAGAGTTAGACAAGACTGAAAAACAACTCGACGACAACAACAACAAAATACATATGCAGACAGGCATTTTTTAACCCAGGAACCAATGGTGTCCTATAAAATGTTTCACTATGACTTACACCTACTTGTGTGTATTGAGGAGGGGTTTCTTACACAAAATGCTTTTTGGCTGGCTATCAGTCTATCACATTGAATCTGGTGTTTCTCCTGCTTTTACCATTAATATAGTTTAGTGCTTCAGGATTAGATGCTATTCCAGGAGAGGAGAAAGAAACAATGTTTGGGTTCTTAGCAAAATATATGCAGTCACAAATTCTGCTGTGATTGAAGGTCCCAATTTGAAATTTATCCATCATGGACCTATGTAAACTGAGGGGCATTTAGTTGTGGCAAGCTTTTCTATTCACTATTTAGTTGGTGAAGACTGAACTAAAGGACAAGGAGGTCAGCTCTTTACCCAATCTAAGGAAGTTTCAGGCCTTTAGAATATAAGCCCAGAGAGGGCAGAAACAAAAACTTCTTGGAAAAAGCATAATTCCTAAGTCAGGTAATTACAAATAGTACTAGATGTCCAACAGCTTAAAATTCTACTTTTTTTTTTTTTTAAAGACTTGGTCTCCCTATTTCTCCCAAGTTAGAAATGCAGGGACTATTCATGGGCACCATCCTGCCATTGATCAGCATGGGAGCTTTGACCTGCACCACTTTACCCCTCCTCCTCAGACAACCTGTTGGCCCTCCACTCACTCCAGAGGACTCAAGACAGAAATGCTGAATGCAGGCACCTGATTGGCACAGCCCGTGATAGCTCAGAACTCCTGAACTCAATAGATCTGCCAGGTTCAACCTTCCTGGCAGCTGGCAGTAGGGCCATGCACCACTATTCCTGGCTCACTCATTATTTTTGACAGGGACACTTCAAAGCAAAGTACCACAAGAAACTAAAACAGCATTACTCCCAAAATATAAAAGGAATGAAGAAATGGAAAAGCAGGGACTACCTTTGTTTGATACCCTAATACTCAGCTTTCAAATTCCCTAATATTTGTGTTTACTTCTAAGGAAATCACATTAAGTCCTGAGAATTTAGCTTAATTGTTCCCTGGAACAAAGTTTAATTATATTATAGAACAAACATTTTTAAAAAAAGATATAGTTTTAAAAATCAGACTTACCTTCCAGAAGCTGTCAACTTTGCCATACACAAGGGATTGATTCTGCCTTTTGATTTCATTAATGTGCTTGATATCACTTGAATTCAGGTGCTGTTCTACCACAAATCCCAGAAAACTGTTGTCTGGTGTGTGGGCTATTTGAAAAAGAAAGGAAAAGAGGTTCATAAGTAAGATGATAGAAAGCACATGTACAGCTAAATGTTTATATTTACCCTAATTTTATGCAATAACATAAGAATGAAGAGTTTATTTTGCTTGGGAGTATTCCTCTACCCCCACCCCCACTTCAATCCTTTCCTTTGTCTCACATTTATTCTTAGAAGGTTTTTCAAACAGGAATGTTTTTCTCTATCGTGTATTAACCTAGGCCTAATCTTCTGAGCACACAAGAGAAATCCATTAGTCTCAGAATCATTAAGATACATTTCTTATTGCCTCCTCAACAGGAGAACAAAGTCTACAGACAGAAATGACAAAAACAAGGATTTTCTAGGCAATAGGTAAACCACACCAAAATGCTTACCACTTACAGAGAGGAAAAGGACTGAGAACACCAATATTCATTACATAATTGTAGGAAAAGACTTTCCTCAGTATCTCCCTTCTCATTCTCTGGGTTCTGAATACCACAATAGTTTTGTACTTGACTTTGGCCAAGAATAATTCACTAGGAAAGTCATCATTTATATCCTATGTCTGTAATCTTCAGATAAGATCAAAAAATACAGTAGGAATGAAAAGAAAATTCAGTTGCATAAGCAAAGATCTTCAAAATTCTTTCCCTTGTATACCTGTCTATCCCAAGAATCCCTCAAAGGTCCTATCTTATTGGCATTCTAATGGAATCTATCTTGTTTATAGTCACATGGAGCCAGGACTTGGCAGAGCCAGGATTCCAAATCCAGTGTGCTTTCTACTGTCTGCGAAACTGCCTCTCTCTTGCTGGGCTATGAATAATTTAAATCAAATTCTTCCTGGTAAATGAAGCATATTCATTTAACATAACACACTTGGGGGTTAATCACATTCATTCCCACAATGATCACTATTTTGGTCTATGGATAAGAGGAGAGGGGAAATCATTTCATAGACTTTCTCTGCAAAGATGCCTCCACAAAGGCAGGCTTGGTACTCTTTTTCAAAATATCAGGAGCATGCCCCACTGACTAGAGCACTGGACTAGAGAAGTCTAAGGACCTGAACCTCATTCTCAAATTAATCACCCAAAGATGAATGACTTAATGCTGGCAAAATGCAGTGAAGAACTCAGATGAAAGATATAGATACATAAATAAAAAGTGTTATCATCATCTGGTCTCCCGGGCTTTTGCCTAATGGGGGTGACAGAATGAGGAGATAATAGGGTTGTGATGGGGGAGTTTGGTAGAGTCTGGCCAATCTGTTATTTCATTTCTGAGATTTTGAACAAGTGCCCAGAGGTGACTGCAATGCCTGTAGTCTACTGAACAGCACTTGATGGAATAAATTCCTCAAGCAAGAAGAAAAGAAGACAGGCCTGATGTTTTCTTGGTGTGTGTGTGTGTGTGTGTGTGTGTGTGTGTGCGCGCGCGTGTGTGTGTGTGTGTGTGTGTGTGTGAGAGAGAGACAGAGAGACACACAGAGAGAGAGACAGACAGACAGACAGGTAGGTTTGGGGAGTTAGCAGGGGGTGACGAATGGGGATGTGAAGAGCAGGGGGAGAAAGATGGACGGGAAAAATCCCTAAATACATTTTACATTTTCCCAAAAGGTAGCTTCAGAATCAGAGACTTCATCAGCTACTAGGAATGCTTTAAAAAAAAAAAAGAAAAACAGGTAGGTATTTGATTCAAAACACAGCTGATGGATGACAGATATTTGTTGTATTATTACTGTAATTTACAACCAAACCAACTTTGACATGGTACACAAATTACATATACATTTTCTTCATTTGAATCATCCATCTTAACTCCTCTCTGGTCTTAGGATAGTATCCTGTGAATAAACAGCATCACAAGTAAGATTCAAACACCTCTGATCAAAATCAAGAAGAAAAATGTGTGCATGTGTGTGTAATTTTTAATGTGCATCTTTGCTACACTGTATCACTAGAAGTTTAGACACTGCTAAAACAAAATCACAACCTTTTGTTTGACGGATTCTAGTAAAATCTGACATAGCATCTTTAAGCCTTAGGTAAATGGAGAACTTTTCATCTCAGTTTTTTTTCACAACTGATGATTCTAATCTATACCAGCAAGTAGTAAGAAGACAAGAGTGGTGTCAGAAGATCCACCTATGGAAATTGGTCTAGAACAAGAGACATCATTCTTAGCCATCTCTCTCTCTTTCTCTCTCTCTCTCCCCCTCCCTCCCTCCCTCCCTTTCCCCCACCTCTTTCTGTCTCCCTCTCTCCCTCCCCCTCCAACAGCTATAGTCAGAGATGCTCAACTGGGTTTAGGGAATGGACTGAAGATACTTAAAATCATGTCAGTAAACTCATATTCTCTTTCATCTTGTCCCAGGATCAGAAAAGGGGAATGGGGGAGAGGTACAGTGGTATTCACAGACATGAATGTATTTAAAACTTAAGTCAAATCAATCTCTTTTTAACAAAGATACAGACGAATCCTCAGCCTCTACAGAATAAACACTACTAGGCCCTTAGGGAAAGGATACTCTCATTTGTGACTTTGAAAGGATTTATTAAAATTCTAATGCTTGTGGGTGCTGACATTCTCTGGTCTTGAACATTTTAACAGTTAATAAAGTTACACAGAATGAAATAATGCAATTCTTGGGTATACATACACATGACTCTGCATTACAATATAACTTTATTTGGAACCCTCTAATCTGGAATCGATACCATCATTTGGATGAGATTAAATTGTTTTCATAGTCAGTACAAAGCTAAAGGATATGCTAATCTTTTAGGATCCTTAACAAATTAATAGGGTAAATAAAACTTTGGGGGAGAATGTTGAGGCCATTAAAAGAACTATTTTCAAGCACTTTGAAAGTACTCATTAACATACAAACAATTAATTTCCTAATTACAAACTTTTCTGTTAACAGATCAATCCCCTAAGGACAATTTTGATATAACACTGTTAGGCTAGTCTGAATTATCATATTCATTCAATCAACAAGAAATAAATCAAATATTTATTGAGCATCAAGTATGCTTAGAGCTCTCCAGGACATGCTGATGCTCAGGACATAAAGATGAGAAAAACATCATCCCTGTCCTGGGGATCTTAAGATCCCTGTTAATAATGGATACATGATATGCTCCTTCTTCAAAGTTCTTTATTTGTTCTTAACAAAAATAAATAAATAAATAAATAAACTAAAAAGAAAGCTAATAAAGAATTTCATTAGGGGAATGCTTTTGTTTGTTTGTTTGTTTTTTTCCCTTTTTTTTTGAAAAAGACTTCTAGTCATGAGAAGAGAATGAAAGCTAATGAGTGGATAGCTCCCGTGTGATGGTAGTAAGCTGATATGTCACACAAGTGTGGTATACTAGATAGAAAAGTGGACTTATGAGTCGGGAGGATGTGGGTTCAGATCCCATCTCAGACAATTACTAGCTGAATAACCCTGTACAAGTCACACAATCTTTCTGTGCCTCAATTTCTTCATCTGTAACGAAGAGATGGCTGGACTCAATGACCTCTAAGGTCCCTTCCAATGCGAAATCTATGCTCCTATGATCCTAAGTTAGCAAAGCTTCCAAAACAAATTGGTGAATTTAGGGGAGGTCAAGAATTAGATTCACAATGGGTAAGGCATAGACAGGCTACAATCAGCCTCTTTGAAGGGAACACTCAAACTAAGATTCCAGACTCATTTGTCTAAGAGAGTTTATTTGAAAGCAACATAACTTCATTCATTTGCAAAATAGTCTAAGTCACATTTGATTTTTTTTTTATTTCACCTTGGCTTTTTCTTCAATTAGAAAGGTTTTTCCTTATATACCTCTACAACTAGCTACAAACACCTAAACGTGACATGTTTAATGGCCCTCTCTGTAGCTTCTGACACTTCTGACACCATGACCTTCTTTTCTAGAAACTCTGTCTTCCATAAGTTTTTTGTGACATTGCTCTCTTCTGGTTCACCTCCTACATGATGGTTCAACTCTTTTTTCAGTCTCTTTTGCTGGTTCTTCATTCAACTTCTGCCCCCATGCATAGGTATATGACAGGGCACTGGGTCTTCTTGCTTTCTACACCAAGTCTTGGTGATCTCATCAGCTCTAGGGGTTCAATTATCTATATGCAGATGACTCTCAGATTTATATATCCTGCCATACTTTCTCTCCTGAGCTCCAATCACAGATTGCCATCTGTTTTTTAAAATATTTTCAATTAGATACCTCCAATGTATTCAAAACAGAATTCATTCTTTCCCCACTTAAGCCCACCCCTTCTCCTCAAATAAGCAATGTCAGCTGAGGACACCACCATTCTTCTAGTCACCCAGGTTTGAAACCTTGTAGTCATATTCAACACTGCACCCTCCCATATTGAATCACTTGCTAAGTCTTATTGACTCTATTTCTACAACATTACAATCAATTAATCAAGCATTAATTAATTAACAAGCATTTATTAAATGTTTGCTATGTGCCAGGCACTGTGCTAAGTGTTAGGGATGCAAAAGAAGGCCAAAAACATGAGCTCTTCCCTTAAGGCATTCACACTGCAATGTGGCAGAGAGCAAGCAAACAGCCATGTGCACACAAGCTTGTATGTATCTGTCCCCTTCTCTCCAACTCACTTGGACCAGATTAATAGTTTCCTAACTGTGGTCTCCCTGCCTTAAGTCCTTCTGCTTTCCAATTCATCTTCCATAGAGCTGATATTTATTTATAAAGTAGAGATCTGACCATGCCACTGCACTGCTCAAAAAACTCTCATGACTCTACTGATTGCCTCTGTGACAAAAAAAAAAAAATACAAACTTCTCTGTTTGGCATTTAAAGCTCTCATATTTGGCTCTGGCCAACTTTTCCAGGTTTATTACGTACTTACTCCGGTTCATGTACTCTACTCTCCAGCCAAATCAGCCTATTCAGTGTTCCCTATACACTCCATATCTCTTATGTCCATCTTAGTGCTATTCTCCAGGTTGTTTCCCAGGCCTC